GTCTTGCAGTGCCCAGTTATGCCTGCTGGACACTGCAAGCGTATATGAGTTCGTCAATTTAACAAAGAAATTGATAGGTATCAGGCTTGTTATCCTAAGGGGAGCCTCTGACACACTTCAAACCAAACATACTGTTTCAGGTAGAATAAACAAACAAATTTATTAACTATAAAGATAGATTTTAAGTGATTATAAGTCAAAACATAAGTCAGATTTGGTCAAATGAAATAAAAGCAAAACGCATTCTAAGCTGGTCTTAACACTTTCAGTGCCCTTACAAACTTAGATGCTTCTCACCACAGGCTGGCTGGTTGCTCTTCAGGCAGGCTCTCCACTTTGATTAGTGCTTCAGTCACTTGGTGTGGTGTCTGTAGATGGACGTGGAGAGAGAGAGAGCATGGCAAATGTCTCCCCCTTTTATCATGTCCTTTCTTCCCTCTTGGCTTTGCCCTCTCCCCCCCTTCCCCCCCACACACTTCAGAGTCAGGTGAGCATTACCTCACCGCATTTCCAAATTGACCAAAGTCTCCTTTCTCAATCCCGCTCCAGACCTTGTGTCCCAATCTATTCCTGACCTCCTGCATTCAGATCATGTAGTGGTTCTTCCACATTGCCTGAATAGCAGAAGAGGAGTCACTGAGAGCACAGGAGAAACAGGCTCCCTGTTCTCAGTTCCAGTGCCCAGCCCCATCCTGGCTTGGAACTGCTTGGAGCAACCATTACAGGGAAAGACTGGCTTTGACCCTGAAGCCTTGGGCTGAAGAGCCTGCTCTGTGGGGATGGCACATGTGCAATCTGGTCAGCACTAGGAGCTGTGAGAGGTTTGAGCATGCTTACTGAGGACAGAATCTTCTGAAATTTTAGCTGCTAGAATCAAAGTTTCAACTGATCATGTGTGAACTGCGATTTCTTTCACAGGCTTATAACTTGGCCAAATTTGGGCAGATGTTCACTGGGTTGGCAAAAGACTACCTCTGCCAAATTTCAAGTCCCTACTCCAAAGCATGTGGGCGCTAGAGGTTATCAAAGGGTTGCCAGAACTTTTTAACATGGGTAAAATTTATTTCTTATTCAAGTAGTGTTCCTATGGGTGCTCCACTGTAGGTGCATTTGCGTCCCTGTGCTGCTGATCGGAGAACTTTGGTAGCAGTGTCCGTTCAGCCTGCACATGCGCTGTCCCTGCCCTCATGCTCTGCCACGAGGCTAACCAGTGCTGCGTGGGCAAACCCCCCTCAGTTCCTTCTCTACCACAAAGTCCTTGACAAGAGCTGCGAAGTAGAGGGGAGGTGGGTGGGTCACGGAGCACCCATCGGGGGACACATCTCGAAGAACCATCATTACTGCACAAGTAATGATGGTTACTTTTCCCTAACTTCATTCTCAGAAATGGCTGAACCAGTTTGGCTGAAATTAAAAGCCTGAGGCAGAAACCCAGAACATAAAATATCAGTCCAGATGGTTCATTTGGCAAAGTTTTATAAGCAACTGAAAACAGGGTCTTATAATGGAAAGTGGGCAACTTTAGTAACAGGTGGCACTTACCAGCCACACCTGTGATCAGCAGCAGCTCCTGAACTCTGAAACTGCCATGTTCTGTTGATGATGTCTATAGATGTCTCTCCCTTTTATCATGTCCTTTCTTCCCTCTTGGCTCCCCTATCAGAGTCAGGTGAGCACTACCTCATCACAGTTCCAAGCTGACCAAGGGAAGGGGGGTGACTCCCTCGAGAGTCTAACAGATTCTTTTGTTGCTGCCTAGGCCAGCGTCCTTTGTTCCTGTGAGGCTGGGCTGGGTTTGTCCCATACCTGCCCTGATGAGGTGTGAACTGCCTCTCTGCTCTTGGAGAGTTTTTGCCTGGGTTTATTTTAAGCCATGAGGATATATTTTCAGCCTCATAACTACATACATGAAATTTATAACCTATAGCATTAGTTGACAATTACTATAACATCATTATAACAACCATGCTCAGTGAATCATGAGCCTTCCGAAGACACCCAACATGACAAACTGCATTGGATGCCACACAATCCATTTTATAAAGATGAACATGGCGGTGTAGGGTTCCCCCCCCAAGGTACAGAGCATCACACCATTATCTTGCCAGGGATCAGTATCTGGCTGACTGGTCTTTAGTTACCTCAGTCATCCTGTTTATTCTTTTTAAATATTGCCACAACGTTAGATTTCTTCCCATCTTCTGGAACTCTCCCAGTGTTCCAAGAGTTAGAACCAACATTAATCGTCCAGCAAACTCTTCAGCCAGCTCTCTTAAAACTCTAGAATGCAGGCTATCTGGACCTGTTGACTTAAAAATGTCCAACTTTAGCAGCTGCTCTTTAATATCCTCCTCTTAGAAAGGAAAGTGTTTCATCATCATGATAGGTCTATATCTGATTTTTCCTAAACACAGAACAGAAATATTTATTAAACACTTGGCTTTTCTGCATTATTGACAATTCTACCATTTCCATCTAGGAGTGGACTAATACACGCCTCTACCCCGATATAACGCTGTCCTCGGGAGCCAAAAAATCTTACCGCGTTATATAGAACTTGCTTTGATCCGCCGGAGTGTGACACCCCCCCCCCCGAGCACTGCTTTACCGCATTATATCCGAATTCGTGTTATATCGGGTTGCGTTATATCGGGGTACACGTGTAATTGTTTTGATTTTTGTTTTGTTTTATTCATAATATACTTTTAAACATTCCTTATGGTCCTTAACTCTGCTGCAGGGTATTGGACTTTATAACTACTTTCCGACTATAATTTTGCTTCTGTTACTTCAGTTTTGTGACATGATTTTAGTAATGGCTATCCCTTAAATTGCTACTTAAAGATTATAGTGTCAGAAAACCAGTGCTTCATGTCGGCTTTCAAATGAAAGGATTAAAGTGTTTGTTTATAGGTCTAACTTTTCCTGAGACAGTGGCAGCTAACCTCAAGTGTCTGCTGAAGTAGAAATAAAGCAAGGTGGTGGCTGAAATTACATCACTTTAAGGTCTGCTATCTTGTTACCTATCAGGGCTGGGACCAATACCACAGTAAACTTTTCATAAGTGACATAGTATGCTTAGGATCTTAAGTTCCATTAGGTGCTTCTGAAAACTTGACCACAAATAGTTAAATGCCGTAAGCCTTTAAACATGGGACCTGGACCAAATCTTGTTCCTCAATTTTTTTCACTGTCCATTGTGACAGTAGGCAAGGGACTGGGAGCTAAAAGAAAACAAAAATCTGAAGTTGAAAGGCTTTCAGCTTTATAAAAAATAGCTATTAAAGCTTTGTACACTTAAAAGATCACTACTTCTCCTTGAACAGCCAAATGCTGGAAAAGGGGTACTATTATATAAAGGTGAATATTTTGGCTAAAATCTTCAAACTTTCCAGTGCCTGCTTGAACATAATTGGGTAAATAGCAGTCTCTTGAAAACATGGGACTATACTGAAGTATCTGTAACACTGCACTCCACTGGCTGGAGTCAGGATTTCTGTGTGTCAGAAGCCATATACACTTTTGGTGCAGGAGGATCTGGGTTATGCTGTTGCCTTAAAACTATGGTGAGCAGCATAGTGACAATTCTTAAGTCCTATGTGGCCACAGAGTTGTTACAATATTGACTGATATAAGTACCATTTTAGTCAGCCATAATGGGTCTTGTCTGACAGAATGCATAATGACCTTATATTGCTTAGGCATATGAACTTTATAATAAATTTTATATGTTGAGTAAATGCGGTGGTTGAACTCTACCTTTGTTGTTACACTTGTACTCATTTTTCCTTTTCCATTTTTCCCTTCCTCATTTTTGTCTTTTATATCTGCTTTTTAAAAAAAAAAAAATAGCTTACTGGATTTTTTAAAAAGGGAGAACTAAATCTTTAAAAGAGCAGCAACTTTTTGCACAGATTATCCGTGCTTCTAAATGTGGAGCAAATCTATCTGAAGCTAATCTGGATTCAGTACTTAACAGTAAATGGTTAAAAAGTTGAAGTAAACTTAATTGAATGTATTATGGGGTTTGAAATGTCCCCATTTAGATACCCCTGTGGTATGTTTTTATTTCTGGCCATGCTTGAAGACGTTCTTTGGATGGACAGGGCATATGAATGGGACTTTCAATACTTCTGTAGTACAGAACAGTCTAAAAATTAGTCTGGAAAAAACAGCATTTGAAGATACTGTTGAACAATAAAGCTCAACTTTTTCCCCCTTGCCTCTCATTGGTGCATTCTCTTTTAATCTCTTTTAATATCCAGGAATCCACCCCACAAAGAGATCTTTGCTGTGTACCCAAAGAGCTTCTGCAGTAATCGGGTGGGTTGATTAATATAGGTTGTCTGCTGAGTCTCAGAGAGCTACATTGAACACTGATCTACATAAGGGGAAAGGATTGGAAAATCAATTACCTTATTGAGTCATTAAACTAGGAGCATTGAGATTTTTAGCATTTAATTTATTAGCGCTTTGCCTTCCAACATAAATGCTGGGAAGGCGAAAGTTTACTGCTACTAGCCAGGTCTGCTGAGGACAGCAGCATGCTGCAGAACCTCTGTGTGGAAGAGATGAAAAGCAACGCTGAGGTTTAAGGTATACACCAGAGATTATGTAAAACATAATCTCCATAGGGGAGGCTAGGTGGAGTCCTGCCCAGGAACTAGATTGCCTTGTGTCAGTTGGTTTTCTGCTGCTGAGGATACTGAATTAACTCTCGGCTCTGGAGGAGACACAAGAGAACAAAATGTAAGGCTAATTCTTAGTTGCTAGCCATCTAGTAGTTTTTGTTTTATGATCTGATTGCAAACACTACATGAAGTTCAATGTGGATCATACAGTACAACCACTTGATTCAGGAGAACTGTGTTGTCTTTAATTTTGTTTTCTGGGCATCTGGGAATTTCAACACCGTGAAGGCAGGTAAACACAGCTGCCAGCATCAATCTCCTAGTAGTAGTAGATCTCTTACTAAAAATATGATCTTTCTCATTCTTCAGGTTACAGAGGTGCTAAAGCATGGCTGACTTTGATCACAATCTCAGTCTTGCGGATGCTCTGACAGAACCACCAGCAGAAATTGAGGAAGAAGTGAAACGAGACTTCATTGCCACCCTGGAAGCAGAGAAATTTGATGATGTGGTTGGAGAAACAGTGGGTAAAACAGACTATATCCCCCTACTGGATGATGATGATGATGCAAAGGCTGGGAGCCAGGAACCAAAAAGCAAACCTCACACAGACGGTGGTCAGGTAGAAAGTAAGTGTCTATAAGCATCAGACCAAATGGTTGCACCTTACATAAATATTACAATAAGCAGACAGTGGGTTTCATGGTGTTAGGCCTCTTAAAACTTTTTGTACAGCATTTTAAACTAAGCAACATCTAATGATTACACTTTGGGACTGGGAGTGAAGTGGTCTGGATTCTAATCCTGACTCTGCCTCTGTCTTGGTGTTTGATCTTGGAAAAAATCACTTATCCTCTGCCTTAATTTTCCAGCCTGTAAAATGGGGATACTTAACATTCCTAACTCCCAGGAACTGGTATCATGGAGTTTAATGTTTGTAAAGTGCTTTGGCCTCCTCAGATGGAAGGTGCTAGACGAGTATTAAATGTTACTACATACGCTAAATATTTTCACCCCAAAGCTCATAAATGTATAAAGGGGGGGGAATATTATCCTTACTTTCTGTATGGAGAAACTGAGTCACAGAGGTTAAATCACTTAGCAGTGCTGCCCATAATGTCAGTGGTTAAATGAGGAATAGAATCCATGTTGTCTGACAGTCTTGTGCTCTAACCACTAGACTGTACTGCCTTTCTAGCACTTCAAATTGTGCTTTGCATACCTTTGGGTGGGGGGAGGAGAAGTTTAGTCTCTTGCTGCAGGAGCACTCTTCACTGTCTGTGTTTACAAACAGGTTTGGCATCATTCACTACTGCTTTTGAAAATTTGCCAGCCCAAATGAATAGCAGACATAATCTGGTGATTATGGGGGGAAAAATATCTGCTTTTTCCAGATGGGTGGATGAATAGACTTTTTTCTGACTGAGTTAGAGGAAGGGACTGGGATTCAGGAGCCTTGAATTCTGCTCCTTTACTTGGCCACTGACTCAGCACATACTTTTGGGCTAGTTCAGGGGTAGGCAACCTATGGCACGTGTGCTGAAGGCGTCATGCAAGCTGATTTTCAGTGGCACTCTCACTGCTCGGGTCCTGGCCACTGGTCCGGGGGGCTCTGCATTTTAATTTAATTTTAAATGAAGCTTCTTAAACTTTTTAAAAACCTTATTTACTATACATACAACAATAGTTTAGTTATAGACTTATAGAAAGAGACCTTCTAAAAACCTTAAAATGTATTACTGGCACACGAAACCTTAAATTAGAGTGAATAAATGAAGACTTGGCACACTGCTTCTGAAAGGTTGCCGACCCCTGGGCTAGTTCCTTAACTTCCCTGTGCCTGTTTCTGCAATTCTAAAATGGTGCTAAAACTCATCTATGTGAAGCACTTTGTCAACCTCTCATGAAATGTGGTATGTAAATAAAAGCAAAGTATTCTCTGCCTCTAAGAGGTAACCTGCTCATCCTTGTGGAAGAAGGGAGATTTACACTAATCTTGGTACTTATGTAGGTGGGTAAAGGGGGTGTATATAAAAGGACTAAAATAGTCATCAGTCAGAACGAGGGACGGTCCTAAAGACCCCGTCTGGTGTGGCTTTGGACTGCACATAGGAATTTGATCCACATCATACATTTTATTTTACTTTATCTGAAAGTGTGAGGTACTTTACAATACAGAACTAAAAAATGTGCCTGCTCTGAAAAGCTTAGTCTAATATTAGATATGATGTGGTGAGTGGGGATAAATGGGGAGGGTGAAGAGTCGGATGAGGAAGGATGAAGGCTGTGGCAAAACATCATGTGATTACTCAGATTAGTCATGTGCTCCTCTTGGTTTAATTAACAGATTTTTGTAAGATATTGACTTGTCCATTGTGGAAAAAATTGGGGGTGGGAAATAACTTTTTCACATTTAGCTTCAAAGATTTAGTTTTGAAGAGGTTTTTCTGATGGAATCTCGTGAAGAATTGGATGTTCAAATTCCCTTGGAGTAACTGGCAATGGAAATCATTGTAGAGACCCTATTTTGATGATGTTTTGATCTCTCCAAAGTAATTGGAGAGCCTGATTACCGTGGGTGCATAAACTAAAGCTTTTTTAGCTTTTTGTCTCTTTGTACATGCTTGGCTGTTGAGGTTTGTCAACCTCTGCAATCTCAACTGGTGTCAGTTTACTACAAGCCATTCTTGGCTCTTGATCCCATTATGTGCTACTTTCAGATGGTTCATTTTTTTTTTTTTTCTTGAAGAGGTGATGGGAGATCAATTTGCTTGTGAAAAGGACCGTGCTTTCTCATCAAACCCACGTGTTATGACTGTTCAACAAATCTCGATTTAAAAAAATGCTTTTGACAATATATAAGGTAGGGTTGAATATGTGCTACCTGCCACTGAGTAAATCCTGTAGAATAAATCAGACGTAAACACTGCATGGCACTATGAAATGGCCTAGCTTGTAGAGAAGCATAAGGCTCTGTTTTAATGTTTGATTATAATATGAAGCTTTTGAGCACAGAAATTGCTACATAATATTTAGCAAGAGTTTCACATTCAAAGCTCCAGAATAGGACTCCAAAACTGCTTTATTCTTTCATGAGGGAGGAAACTAACTTTCATGGATCAGACTTTTTCAGCTCTGACTTGTTAATTTATTCATGTTAAAATGCTGGGATGTGTTTCGACAGCAGGATCTTTGCTGCTGAGATTGATTTTCCTCAGTCAGAAACGAGCTTAGTCATATTTTCCGTCAGGATCCAGCTATTTCATCTCTGCTAAAGTTGTGTTTTTATTTATTTATTTATTTATTTTTAATCCATGAGCCAGATTAGATGAGCTTAACAAACAGTCAGATGGGCCCCAGCATGGACTTGTGTAAACCATATGAATACTGAGGGGTGGGTAAGGGAAGAGAAGGGGTAATGAGAATAGAAGTATAGTCAGATGGGAATTTGTCTCAAAGTGAGACTAAACGTTAGTTTTAAAAAACCCTCAAGTGGTGCTTTCCCCATTGGGATATCAATTCCTAGGAAGTTTTAGACTATACCTAGCAAGTGGCTGGATATAATTTGGCAAATTCCAGGTAATCCTCTTACTAGGTTGTGGTCTTTACATAATGCTGGAGGATTGCTTTGGGTGTGTACAAAGCCTTCTGTATGTTTTGCAGCTAGGGTGACCAGATAGCAAGTGTGAAAAATCAGGACGGGGTTGGGGGGGTAATAGGCCTCTATATAAGAAAAAGCCCCAAATATCGGGACTGTCCCTGTAAAATCGGGACATCTGGTCACCCTATTTGCAGCTGGCTGCTGTCTACCTGTTTAGTCTCAATCTTTTGGCCCCAAATTCAGGCTTCTGGAGGAACTCTCAAACCTTCAGGGCTTTCAGTGGTGATGTAGCCCTGAAGGCTGTAGCAGTGAAAATGACATTGAATTGAAGTCTAGATAGCCTGCGATGATCGTTTTTTAAGCCCTGCATTGTTCTGATTCATCTAAAGTGAGGGATATATTATCCTGTTTGGAAAATATTTAAATCCTATTTTTTCAAATGATAGGCTTTGGGTGTCAGCTGAGAAGTAAATGTCAGGCTTTAATACCCGACTGCAGACAGGTATGCTGTCAGTTACTTGCTTCCAAGTACACCACGCTGCTTCAAAACTTGATACTATTGCTACTTTCAGAAGTGGGGGAAGAAAGCTATGCTCTGTTTCACTCCTTTGAGTGGGTATACATTGCAAAAATCATTTCCCTTCCTCCATCCCAGTCGCAAGCTTGTCTATCATCCTCGATTCAAGCCCTCAAATGGCCACCAGAGGGCATTGAGAGTACTAGACTATGGTAGAGTGGACACAAAGTGCTGCATATCAGAGCAGACGTCCCCTCCCCCATAAGGAAACAAAGCGCACATCTGGGGCCTGCAAGCTTGAGATCAAACCACAAAATTTCCCTTTCCTTTCCTTCTATCTTTCTCCACAGTAGCAATAGGTGCCTTCATTGCAGAAGGCTGCAGGCTTCCTGTAAGTTTTTACTATGCTTTTGCAAAGAAAAATCAACCCCCTGACATTTCTGAGTTTAAGGACAGCAAATGTTCCTTAAGTGCATCCTAAAAGCTGCATATTTAATTGATCTGGGAATTTCCTTAGTCTCAAAATGGGAATCACAAAAAAATCAGTCAGTCAATGGATGTAGACATCCGGATTGTATCAATACTGCTAATATTCTCCTTAGATACGTAATTAATTTTTTTCTAGAGGGCTGGTAAAACCTGTAGCATTTGTAAGAATTGTTACATTTCATTATTGCAGACAATGAAGTATCCCACAGGATTGAAATGAAAAGCTTTTTATCTGTTTCAGTATTCCAGGCAGCAATTCTTATGTTGCTGTCAGGAACTTGGCAATCAAATTAAATACAGTTGAAAGTACTGCAGGTGATACCTTGATTCTTTAAATGTTCCTATCCTGCCTTTTTCCTTTGTACTTTCCATAGTCTATATTTCGGTTAATAAAGAAGCATCCAAAACTTTGGCTAAAGGGGGTGTATTGGCAACTTGACAGGAGGTTGAGGGCAGCACTTAATTTGCATGAAGGATGGCAGATTTAGCTGCCCCTCTATGTAAGCAAAGCTGCAGAAACTGCAGATGTAGCATGCAGTGCTCAGTCTTGATCCAGGCATAAGGCCTGCTGCTGGTGAGCTCTGTGCTGCATATTAAAGGTGAAGATTGTTGCAGACTATTCTGTAGAACTCCACAGATCCGATGTTAGATCCACAGCTAAAAAATGTGCTTTTTCTTAGGAGAGAGAAGAAAAAGTGCCTTCAATATTGTCTTAGAAATCTAGACATGATACTCCAGTTTCTCTAGCATGTTATAAAATGAAGGTAGAGGGCTTATTTCCGACTTGGAGAAGTTAATATAAACGTTGCTACAGTGCACCAAGCAAAACAAGGAAGTTCTAGCACAATTGTTATATTGGCTAGCGTCACACAGTTGTTTTAAAGATCACTAGTAGAGCACAATGTGGGAGACCCTAAATAGTCTTTTATATTTAATCCTGTTGTGATTGTTTCCTTAGTAGTTAGAGAGACATGGTGAGTGAGGTCATACTTTTACTGGACCAACTTCTGATATTACCCACC